TTAACTTGCGGCCCCCTCGGCCCTCTTGCCGCTGTGTCCTAGTGGCTCATCTAGTCTGGCCACCTTTTTCCCCGCGTGGGCGCCTTACGTCCTGCTTCTTTTCTCTCTTTGTCGCGCCCCTCCTATGCCACTATTATCTTCCCGGCGGTCCTCCTCCGTTTTCGGGGGAAGGATCGCCTCTTGGTTCGAGGGTCTCGGCGACTTCGGGCAGCCTCTAGCTCCTTAGTGCCGTCGCGCACGCCTTCGATTCCTCCAGCATTCCTGCCTCCGATTTTCTCTGTCGTGCACAAATTGGTCATATAGAGTCTCTCGAGTGACGGGAAGCTATTCGAGACTCACCAGTCCCGACATATTCCCCCCACTCATTCGCAATGTCCTCATTGCGCACCAGTCCATAGTCAGTGGGGATTTGGAAGTGATAGACAGACGAAGAAGAGGAGTGGGGTGGGACGGTAGTTAGCTTGCCCGGGTTCTTTTTGTCTTTTCCCATTCTTTTCTTGGGGTTTTCCTTCACTTCTCCGCCCCTTGGTGCGGAGGAGGGTACGGGGGGGTCGAAGTTTTTCTTCGGATTTCTCTTTTCTCCCTACAGCTTAGACCGGGTTGCTCATTTCCAACATAGCTCTGCCTCTTTATCTTTCCTTCGATCGAGACGCGAACTTCCTCTTCAGTCAACTCTGTATACCCAGCAGGGTAGCCCATAATTCTTTCGACTTCAGTAACATGAAGTAGGCGAGGCTCTCCTTGCTTCATGCACTTAACTACTTGCATGCTGATATTCCCAGGGTGACAATTTGTTGTCATAACACAATTGGTTTTCTCATTATATGCCTTGGCATTGTTGATAACAAATTGTAGGCAAGTTTTTGGATGTGACTCAATGTCAGGCATTTGCTCCGGATGGGGGATGTTCGTCCAGTACAACCGTCGCCTTTGCTGCGGTGCCACCCACTTCGAATCGATGAACACAGGCACAACTTCTCCTAAGCGCTTCGTAATCTCAAATCTATCTTCCCATTTCATTGAGAAAACATTCTCGAGCAGACACCATCCTGGTTTTGTCTCATTCATTACTCTTAGGACATCTACACCTTTTCAGCACAATTTTTCCTTTCCCGAAGCTCAATCATAGCCAAATCCATATGCATTTTTCCCGGGTCATTCTTCCCGACTTTTCTCAGGTCCTGCCAATGCCGCATGCATATCATCTTCTGCCCTTTCTTGCCCTTTACTTAATTGACTTTCCATATGCAATGCTCGGTTCATCCCTTGCGCATTTCTTTTCCAAACATCTTGTCAGACCTTTTTCTCAAGCCCTACGCAAGCCAATCACACAGCCATTCCCCAGCCTGCCAGTCCTTTTTTCAAGTCCATGCAGAGTCAATCATATCAGCCCTTTCCTTCTTGGTTATCTTGCCAGACCTTTTTCTCAAGTTCATACCATGTCACTTGCTCAAGTCCTTTCTGTCCTGGGCATCTTGCCAGACCCCCTTTTCTCAGGCCCATGCAAAACCAATAACAAGTCTTTTACTTTTTTGGGTGTCTTACCAGGCCCCTTTTCTCAGGCTCATGCAAAACCAAATACAGGTCTTTTTTTCCATGCGTATTCATTGGTAGATGGCACACCTTCCCCCCACTCAAAACGCGATGTCCCCGTCGCTCGACTGGTTCTCACTCGGAGGTACGCAGACCTTTAGCCCACCAACCGCAGTCAAGGACATAAGCCGTCCGCTTCACAAAAGGAAGAGTGATCAGTTCCTCATCCTCCTACTCGGTCCGACTTTTTTTTCTATTACGTGGTGAGCACCAATACTGAGGTTCCTCCTCACATCTGACAAATAGGTCCAATCCAAACCTTCCAGGGCCTCGTCTAGCCGTAAGAGCGTTCCTCGCGAATCGTTCTTCCCGAGTGGTGATTTTCTGGATTCCGACCTCTTTCTTTCAAGAGAGTTGGGGCTCTTAATTAGTCTTCGAGTGCAGTTACGAAGACCTCGCAATTAGTCCCGGAACGGTTGTAATGTTCCGGCAGGGCAGTGTCAATGCCCCGTGGTGGTGACGGACTCCACCCGGTACCTTCGCCCGGCCCCTCCCCTTGGACAGTGCCGCCCAACTTAATGCAGGCGACCGAGGTCCGATCCAAACGGCTATGGCACCCCTCTATAACATGGCGTGTGGTTGGAGAGTAGCAAAAATAGACTAGATGAGAATGACTCTCTCACCCATTTGGCTCTCTCGCCAATTTGGCTCTCTCGCCCTTTGACGTTTAGGCATTCAACAGGAGGCGCAGTTTGAACTCCCCGACTAGAGCTCATTGTCAAAGGTGGTTCCGGACGTCCCGCACCGATCCAAGTGGTAGGTGCCTTAGTCCTTTAACCCTCATTCTTTTAAAGGAGGAGCAGGTCGCGCTGAGACTTTTTCCCTCAAAGGGATAGAGGTCTTGAGGTCGCGGTGCGTGCACCGGTATCCCCCTTTTGCTGAGGCCAAAGACTAGAAGAAAAGAGAAATTCCATTTCAATGCTCTTTCCAAGTTCATTTCAAGTTCCCTAGGGTCCCCTGTTTATGCAATGCAATTTTCAATACTCAATCCAATTTCAATGCTCAGTCTCATTCCCCTGCTCAATCTCAGTCCAATGCTCAATCCCAATCCAATACTCAGTGCAATATCTCTTCCAAGGCCGAATTCAATATCCTTTCCAAGGCTGAGTCCCATATCTTTTCCAAGGCTGAGTCCAATATCTTTTCGAAAGCTCAGCTCTTCCAATATCTTTTCCAAAGCTCAGCTCTTCCAATCTCTTTTCCAAAGCTCAGCTCTTCCAATCTCTTTTCCAAAGCTCAACTCTTCCAATTCCATGCATCACAAGCAGCCATGCAAGGGGACCCCAGTGCCAATTGCAAAAAATGACCCTTGTCAGGGGCCATTCCGAACAACCTGGTTAGGGTCGTTCTTTCCAATTCCAAGTCGAACAGCCTGGTTAGGGTCATTCTTATCCATTGCAATCGGACAGCCTGGTTAGGACCATCCTTATCCATTTCAATTGGGCAGCATGGTTAGGGCCGTCCTTGTCCATTGCAATGTTAGCGCCCGAGGGGGTGGGCCTCGAGGACACGGATCCTATCTTGTCTTGGGGGTTAGAAGGCGACCATCTTCTTGGGTTTTTACACATGCTTCTTCCTTTTCCTCATGCCATTTGTCATTCTTACATCCATCCATACATCCGACTTAGCGTCTAGTGCTCGAATTGGGGCTTGCGTCCCCAAGCAGCACTAGCGCACCCGGCCGTTCAACCATTGCAAGGGGTGCTGACTCATTTCAACGTTCCCCCCCCCTCTTCTGACTTCTCATATCGTCTCAATGCTATAGATTTGTCTGGGATAGGTTGGATTAGGCTCCTAGGGAAGAGGACGCCTCTTTACCCATAGGTTCCCTAACCTCTCACAAGGACTCGTGCAATGACTCAGTCAATCGTGGATACAAAATTTTAAAGGAAAACTTTCGTCATCAATGTTTTCTTCCAACATTCAATAGTTCACATGCCCTTGCTTGCCTTTTCGAGGCAGAGTCAACCATCCCCAGTCCCTTCCTTACTACCAAAAGTTTCTACTTTCCAAAAGGAGCGAGTATTCATACAAAGTAGCACTGGTTACTCATCCCTTGCTAACTTTCCCATCCCAAGAAGTTGTTCTGTTGCAATCCTTCAAAAAGCAGGAGACGAAATGCAAAAAATAACATTACCGACTTGTCTCACCTAGACCCCGGTCCTTCCCAGTCTTAAACTCATCAACCCACATGTCCTTCCAAAGAAGCCACTCCTATTGGAAAGTAGCACTAGTTACCCAGTCTTTGGTCAGACTTAATCAAAAAGTTGTTCCATCGCAGTCCACTCAGAAAGAAAAGGTTCAAATGCGAAATTCAAAATGGCAGTTCCACCTGCCTGGGTGTCAACCCTCCCCCAATTTTTAGCTAACCCCCATTATGCCCACTATCCCTTTACTGTCCAGTTGCCCTGCGCCGAGCCTCTCTTGCACGATCCTCAATCTCTTGCTGCATTTGTCTCTTTATCCTTTGCAACTGAAGGAGTGTCTCCTCTGTGAAGAAGGTTGTTGGGGATACGTCCTCCCCCCTGCTCAACTTTTCCTTCCCCTGCATTGCCCACTAGTATCGTAAGATACTGGCCCATTAATCAAACCAGTCGCTGAAAGTCGGTCGAAACTCTCTTATCCATTTGTCCTTTTCTTCCCCCGGATCTTCCTCTCTCCCCCGTACTTCCCTTGTGGGTGTTGTCACTTCGTCCTCCTCCTCCTCGCTGCTGAGGTCTATGACCTCAATGGGCTCCTCCTCCTCCAACCTCAGCCTTTTCCCTAGGTTCCCCTCTTCCTCACTACTAGTATCATTGTCTGATGGAAGGACTATTGGTTCCCTCTCCCTCAGGGGCGACGGTCCCCTGGTCCCTTGCTTTCTCCCACCTTTGTTTACAACCAGATTGTGATCGAATCCCACATACAGCTTCCTCTTCCTGGAACTTGATTCCACGGCCTGTCTTGTTGGCTGCTGCTCATTGGGTCGGTTGATAGCGTTGTTGTCGTTCTCATTTCCAAACTCCATCTTGTCTTTTCTTGCTTTTCCTCTTCTTTCCTGGTCCTGTCCATACATAACAGTCACCGCATCCCCTCATACGCACACATTTCATCCCACTCCCATTTGCAGCTTTGCAGGCTTCCCTAGGACTCTTGCTTGCCCCCATATAGTTGGTAGTCCCGTTATCCCTTAGAACCCTTGACACATTGTCCCAGCACATAGGTGCCCCATGTAGGCAGTCCACAACATCACCCCACAAAAACTATGGTACATTGTCCCGGCACATAGATACCTCGTGTAGACAGTCCACAGAGTTGCCCCGCAAAAGACTATGGTACATTGTCCCATGCTCCCAACCTCATTCATACTCAGCCCAGGCAGTTACCCCATGTTCCACAGGAAAGGACACAAAAGAACAACCCATGCAGTCATGATTACTTCCGTAGGAAGGCGGTATAGACTCATAGCCAGCTGCCTGCTTTTCAAGTTGTCAATTCCCCTGTTCCCGTGTCCTGAGCCTCCTGTAACCATTGTTCCACCGGATCCCTGCTCAAAAACCTGACCAGCCTCTGTCCCGGAAATGGTCCTCTTATACTAGTACCATCAAGGTCCTCAAGTTCGAACGTGTTCAATCCCACCCGCTTAGCGATCCTGTAGGGCCCTTTGAACCTCTCCCCCAGCTGCCCAGACCACGTGCTATCAAGGGCCGAGTTCCTAACTAGCACCTTTTCCCCTACTTGGAGTGGTTCTTTCCGGATATTCTTCACCTGGTCCCATCTTGCTTTGTCCCTCATTCGGCTATCCATCACGCGCTTGACCACTTCTTCCAAGGCTTCCTCATTTCTAACGACCTGTTGGCATCGTGCGACAATTAATTCTTCAGTAGACAGGCGTGGATTGTCATCTAGCCTGTTCCAGGTGGGGACTAAGGCTTCCACCGGAAAATCAATCTCCCTCCCATACCAAAGTTCTGTCGGAATGCATCCTGTCATCCTTTTCGGTGTCATTTTCTTTGAGAACATTGCCTGCTTAAGGAACCGTGGCCAATTTTCCAAATCATCCACTGCCAGTTTGGCGATTGTGTTCTTCAAAGTTCGGTGCCCCCTTTCTACCGTTGTGTTTGCCTCAGGGTGATATGGTTCAATGATCTTGATGGGTACGCACAAGGTCTTAAGCCTGCTCAATACCTCCTGATTGATGAACTCCGTCCCATTGTCTGCTATGAACCTGTGTACAAAAGGGTGTCTTAGGTAGAAATCCTCTATCCAATCGACCACTCCCTTCCCTGTCTTTCTCTTGAGTGCTACCGCCTCTACGTAGCCACTGAGGTTGTCCCTTGCATCCATGATGTATCTATATCCATCCGTTGACACTGGCATGACCGCAAGATCGAGGTGGACTAAGTGCCCCGGCCCTAGTACCCGGGTAGGTCTAACGGGCTCGAAGACACGTGCGGAACTCCTTTCCTGGCATATCAAGCATGTCTGGCAGTATGTTGCCACCATACCTGCCATATCTGGCCAGAAGTAAAGTGGGGCGATTTTCGCAAGGGTCCCTTTGGATGACCTATGCCCTCCAGCTAGTCCATCGTACATCGCCTGGATTATGTCTAACTGCCTAGACCTTCCGCACACGACTCGTTTAGGCATCATCCCCTCTTCCTTCTTGAACAGGTGGCCGTTCCTTAAAACATACTTTTCGGCTTCCTCCCTTGCCTTGGGGCTGAGTTCTAAGGGTTGCTTGTTTCCTATGAGCAACAAGCCGACTTCCCAGAAGATGCCCTCATACATCTGTATGAGAAAAAATTCTCGTTCCTTCTGGTTGGTACCCTGCTCCTCCTGAGCCTGATTCACCAGGTACTGCAGTTCCTTTTGCGTCCAGGATTCTGCTAAGGTCATCACGGCGTCCCGTCCCCCTTCAACGGCCATTGCCATCAGTTGCTCTTTAGGCCCAATCACTGCACCCCACGAATCCCTCTCGTCTTTGCGCCTAAACGTAGTAACCGGTCCTTCCCTGAGTTCCGCAACTACCGCAGGCGCGCCCTTTTCCAAGGTCTGGATCAGCAACTGGCTCGTCGTGGCTATGGAGTCTGCCATCTCGTTATCCACAGCAAGGGTCCCTCCTTCATATTCCAGGAAGGCGTCAATCGGCTCTGCGTCCTCTATCCCTTCCGGCGTGATACATACCCTACTCAGCCCATCCGCCCTGTTTCGAAGCCCCGCAATCCGCTCGACCTTGTAGTCGAATTGCCATATGAAGCCTATCCATCTCCTGACGGTTGGGTCTATAGGCTTATAGTTCTTTAGTGCCCCGGCGACGTTGGTTGGATCGATCCTCAGGACAAACCGCCTCCCGAACAGGTACGCCTAAAAGGTCTTAAGGCAATGCAGGATCGATAAGACCTCTTTCTTGAACTGTGAGTACCGTCGTTCCGCCGAATTCAAGGTCCTACTTTCAAACCTGATTGGTCTTTCCTTACCCTCCTCGCTTTTCTGTATCAACACCTCGCCTATTGTCAGCGGTCCCCCATCTGTTTCTAAGATAAAGGGCCGCCCTACTTCGTCATTGAAGCAGGGTGCCGCTAAGGTAACCTGATCAGAAGACAGGATGTCTTTGAGGCTCTGGGCTGCCGCTTCCCTGTCCTCGGTCCATCCATAGTGCCACCTTCCCTGATCATTGCGCGGATAGGCTCTACTATCTTTGCGAACCCTTTGATGAAGATCCTCCAGAATCTTACCACCCCTAGGAAGGCACGTACTTCCTTCGTGGTGCGCAGGGGTGTCGGCCACTGGGAGATCTTATCTGTTTTTGCTGGGTCGGGTCTTCTCCCATAAGCCCCACAACGAAACCCCAATATGGTTACCTCCGGAACAGCCAGGATGCTCTTTGGTCCACTTGCTGTAATATTATAAACCAGGAACCGCTGTAAGAGATTCTTGATATCCTGCAGGTGATCCCAGACAAACTTCCGCACGCCCGGCTCAACCTCTGTCTCATCCTTGTTTTGCGCGCCCTTTATGGGGTTATCGTCTGTATATGGGGTTATCGTCTGTATATGGCTCGCATTTCTCTGGAAACATATCTCCTGCCACGACCAGCATTCTCCTCTGCGCCTCTGCCACCGCATTCGTGAAGTCCATAGGGGTCACTTGCATCTGCAACTGCCCTTCTGGTGTGTGCACGGCGGTATACGGTTTATCCCTTGCGTCGAGCGGCAATTGGTCGTATCCTGAGTATAGGTCTATCAGGGAGTAAATACTTCGTCCAGCATGCGATTCGGCCAGCAAGTCTGCTTGTGGGAGCGAACCCGCGTCCCTAATTGTTACCTCATTGAGCTTCTGCAAGTCCTGGATCCACCTGAGCGTCTTGTTGGGCTTCCGGAAAACGAACCACTTGTTCGCGTAGGGGGATGCGGTGGGTTCAACCACGAATGAATCTATCTTGGCTCTAAGCAGGTCGGTGACCTCTGCCTCTATCCCAAACTCATAGGCAGGCCCTTTATCATTCCAACACTCATGCTCTACCGTGTGGATCCTAACAGGGGGAATTAATTTCGCATCCAACCGTCCTTTCTGGTGAAGGCAAAGGCTAGATGAAACTCTTGGCACGTCCTCCTTATCAACTGAGTTTCCTCTGTTGTTAAAAACCCTTCCACCCCTATTTTCATGGTTTTTGCTACTTGATCAGGTATCCGATGCCCTTTCGCTGCTCGCCTCTCCCTTATTACCTGCAGGACCTCCTCCTCCTTTTCCAAGGCCTCTTCCTTTGACGTCTCCACTAGGATCGAGACCGGCTTAGACTTCTTTCCTACGGGTTTGTACTTTCGCACACTGCCTTCGGGAATCGTTCTCCTAAAAAATGGACAGTCGGAATCGGCCTTGCTACCTCCAGGACGCGGGGCTGGATGCTGACTAGCTTCCTATTCAGACAGTAGCCCTTTCGGACCCCGTCTTCGGATTTAGCAAGCGCTGCGGGGTCCACCCCCACCTTGTGGTACCTGATGGCCTTAACGAGTTGTAACAAGTCTGGGATTTCAAGCACCACTTCTGGCGTTTCGTTCCGGCCTTTATTTGGTTTGGGCAGGCTGGCCCCAAGTTCGACTTCCGATTCTTTCTCTGCCATCATAACTTCCAGGGCCTCGTCCTCTTGCCTCCTCTTCTTCATAGATAGACCCATCTTGATCCACTCCTTCTTGCTAAAGGCCTCCTCAATCATGATCTCTACTCTTTCCCTCATTCCTTCCATTCGTGCGAATGCCCCTTTTCGCGCACTCTCCTCGAACGTCGGCGACGAAGTTGCCAATTTGCCTTTCGGCGGATCGCCTCCGGTCCCAAGTAGTCGGAGGAGTTCTCCGCGGCCGGTCACTGGGTCCTCTATGTCTACCATGTATGTGCCGTCGTGCAGATGCATACCTATCATCTCTACATTGGCGCACCACGGTCTTCCGAGAATTATGTCATGGTCCATTTCGTCCATCACGGTCATCCGCTGGAACGACCAGATTGATTCCCTGATCCCCGCCCTAACTGCACATTTCGTAACGTACCCTGCAAAGGGAATCTCCCCGCCAGCTCCCCGGATACTCCCCATCACTTCCTTGTTTACGATGCAGCAGGTGATCGTTGCAAAATCCCGTCGTATGAGGGTAATTTCCGCACCGCCGTCCACTAATGCATCTGTGTGGTGGGTTCCGATTTGGACCTTCAGCTTTCCTACAGGCAAGGCATGGAAGCTAAGCTTCGTCCCGGGTGGCGCCCTCATGACTTCACCCCCTTCGCGGTCCGGTAGGCTTAGGCGGATGTCTGCAAAGGCCTTTTCCAGGTCCTCCAAATCTCAGGGAATTCGTTGGAGGTTGGAGACCCCTTGCGGCGTTGCGGGCTCTTCTGTTTCCTGCTCCTGTGGTTTCGGGCCCTCCTCTACCTCTACGCGCTTGCGCGTTAGCAACTGCCTGAGTCCTTTAAGCAGCCTTGGGCTGGCTTGCAACATGGACTGGAAGGATACCGATACCATGGTACCTAGCAACTTACTCAGGGTGCCATCGATTTCAGGCGAAGTCAGGATCGGAATTTGATACCTGAACTTCTTCTTCGCCGCCGCAACTTTGTCTATCGGTTCCTCTTCCCTTGCCTTCCCGTAGACCTTCTCCTGTTCCCCGGTCTCAGTCTCTTCCTGATCTGCACCAGCCCCAACAACCTCTTCCATTACCGTGTCTCGAATAAGCTTCTTTTCCGCACCGGCCCGTCGGGTGGTGATGTTTACCCTATCCTGCCCATTGCCCTCTAGGATGAAATTGGCCTGTGGCCCACGTCCCCTTGGTTGGTCCCAGACAATATCGGGTACCGACTTTGCTTCTACGACGGCTATATCCAGGTTATTCAGGACGATGACGGCACGCCGCATTCCTCCTGGCGAATTCCAATTTATGCGCTCTCCCTGGGGCCCGAGAATCTCACCCTTAAGGGACCTGCTGCATCTCTGTCTCATGATATCATGGTTGAGTCTTGGGCAAGTCCGTACGAAATGTCCGACCATTATGCAATACCTGCATTGCTCATTGGACGGATCCCTTCTGCCATACCCCCGATTCGCCACTGCTGCCGGAACTACGGCCTCTTGGGGCGGGAGGGTGGGTCGGGACACCTGCGCCTGCATTACTAATAGCCTGGGCTACCAGCCGGGCGACCTGGCCACCCCCTCCCTCGCCCGGCACACGCCCGGAACGCCCGGCCGGGCGGCCCGCCCGGTCGAAACCCCGGGCCCCCTTGCACAAAATAGAGGGCGTTTTTTTTTTCCCCCGGTAAAGCCCCTGGGAGACCGAGGCTGTAGTGGACAGTGGAGCGGCGGCGGAGAAAAAAGTCGGGGCCCAGTAGGCCCTTTTTTTTTTCGGCCTCGAAGATCCACCGTTGATCAGTGAAGATCGACAGCTCGCGCGAGATCGCGATTTGAATTCGAACTGTGTTCGAATTCGAATATGCGCTTCCCCCTCTCGTCCTCCGAGCAGGGTTCCACCTCGTTGTCGCTGCCTCCGTCCCTGGACGTCGGTGCTGCCTTCGCGCCTCGTCGTCGTCGCTGCCTGCTGCTTCGCCATCGCTCCTCCTCGACGTCGTCTGCATCGTGAGAAGGTGAGCCCCTCCTCCCTCCCCCTTCCTTCTCCCTCCTCCTTTCTTTCTTCTTCGTCTTCGGCTGAAAGGAGAATGACGGCAGCTATAGAAAGGGGGGAGGGAGACCACCATACTACAGACCTCCAATGGATGTTGTTTGTCTTCGAGGATGAGGAGGAGGAGCAGCGTAGGATGAGTAGTAGTTTTTTTTTCTTTTTTTCTTTTTTCCGTTCGCTGAATCGCTGCGTCACTTTGACGCCACGTGGAGGAGAGGGAGGAGGAGGAGGAGGAGGAGAGGGAGGGCAGCGTCTTGATTGGGGGGGCGGTGCTGGGGCGCCACGTGGCGAGAAAGGGAGAACCGAAGAGGAGGAGGAGGAGGAGGGGGGGATCTTGAAGGTAGGTGGAGGAGGAGGAGAAGGGTTGGCCACGTGGCTACAAAGGGAGAAGTTCAACAGAGAAGAGGAGGGGGAGGACCAAAGAAGGAGGAGGAGGAGGAGAAGGGTTGGCCACGTGGCTACAAAGGGAGAAGTTCAACGGAGAAGAGGAGGGGGAGGACCAAAGAAGGAGGAGGAGGA